CATCAGATGATTGGGACAAATTAACGACGTCCAAGGTGGGTCATATAGATGATATTATGATGATCTTTTTTTAGTGAAAGGAATAAATTTGTAATTTTTTTTTCCTCTGGTTAAATATAGTTTTTATGTACGGTTATGCCAATGCTATAGTTGGCAAATAAAAGTGTGAAAATATTATTTTTTTATATGTCATAATTTTATTTTGTGCTATAATGTTATTTTAAATAGTATATATAATATATGGATGTAATTTTTTGAGACCAAATACAGCATATATGAAATATAATAAAAAATAACAGTACTGCATTGAAGGATGATTATTCTATTAAAATGTAAATCATAAAATTAAGATTAGTATATTATTTAACACTGCAATATTTGACTTTCATTATTTTTACCTTCTCGATCGTTAACATTTTATATTTACTTTGTGATCAATGTGATGCTTTAGGTGACATGGAAAGTCCGGCAAATGCCTGAATTGGGAAGATGAACCAAAACGCCAATATATTATATATGATTGTAGTACCTTTCATGATCAGATTGTTAATACTGGTCAGGAAGTTATTAATATCAATAATTTTGTGGACCTTTTCGTTTATGTTATGATGTAAATGATCCGTTGGTAATATTTTTCTCATATTTTTAGGCTATCTTTGTCCAATTTTTTCCCTTTTTTTTTTAATTTTGTTTCCATATCAAAAAAAAAGAAAGAAAAGAAGTTTTATTGAGGCCCCCTTTCACCTTCTTCGTTCTTTCTCCTTCTTGGAGAGGTTGTAAATTATTCTTTAATTTCGGATTCTTGTATTTCTTTCTTTTTTATATAATGATAAATAATGTGTGGCTCAGTATGAGATAGGTTTGTCATTCTAAAAATAATCATCCTTAACTCATAATGCCAGAATATGGGCCTCCCAATTCCCATCATCAATTCCTAAACCGTCTAATTCTAATATTTTCTTTTACTTTGACAAGTTGGCTTAATTTTCCTAAATAATTGCTTGCATTCGTAAACATGTGGTTTAATCATGAGCACTACCTTATTGTCTTTGTGATTATAACTAATGTAACTTATAAATTTAAAATAATATTTATTAAAAAAACTTAATTAGAAATAATGAAGCTCCAACTCGGGCTAATAACAAGCCCCAAGGAACAGTATCCGAGACCTACATGAAAAATACCCTCGGCTACTTGTTTTTCTTTAATCAAAGAGGGAAAAAATTAAAGGGCTATGATTAATAGAGTTAACACCAAAAAGTTAGGATTAATAGAGTTGGTGTTATTTACATAATTCTTGTTTAAATTAAGTGTTTCTTAGATGTTAGATATTCAACAAACATATACATCAATTTCCAAACAGAACGTCATACAACAACAGCTCAGTTAAACCATATTGCACAGTCATACTACGTACAAGTACAGCTTACTTTTGGAGGAGTAAGGCCTGTAGCGAAGCACCTTTTCTGAAATATCTCGTAACTTGTTCGTTAAAAGTAAACTATAGATAGTGATTTTGGGTCATTTTATTGGCAGATTTAATTAAAATCACATTAAAATAAAAAATATGTATAATGATAATTTATTTTTTCAAACCCTATTGTGAAAATCTTGTAATCTTTTATACAAAAGGTCATTAATTTTAGACTTTCCCGATAACATAGGGATTTTTTTTTTTTTTTTTTTGTGGCAATTTAAGATGACTTAGACGTACATTCACTAAAGCGATAAAGAATGTACCTAATACAAGATCACAATCTACCCTCTTCTATTCCTTGAGTACGTGTTAAGCGGCATAATTTGGTGGCAATTTAAGATGACTTAGACATACATTCACTAAAGCGATAAAGAATGTACCTAATACAATATCACAATCTACCCTCTTCTATTCCTTGAGTACGTGTTAAGCGGCATAATTAATTTTTTAGCCTTTTAGTGAAAGTGATTAGATGGGCACACGTCCGTCCTACTAGGATGAAGAAGCACCGAAATTGATGATCTCGCCATCGCTAGGATCCTGAGTACACACGTGTCACAACATAAACTGTCGGTCAACATTTAAAGTCTGAAAATGCTGAATTTTCATCTAATTAATGAAACTAATCAGCATACATCAGAGAGATTCCCTAGCCAGATTATTAGCTTTAGTTACCATGATTAGAATAGCACGTACTTTCTATTTACATCACTGCAAGTCCTGCAAGAATCTAAATTACCAATGTCCATGTAGTATTCAGAACAACAAGACATATAATATACAGGTTTCCAGAATTTGAGGCCTACCCCAAAAATCCTTGCATTTTTTTTTATTGACAAGTCAACAAAACTTATTCTCTTATGTGCCATAAGCAATAAAATAGACCAAATCCGATCAAAGAGGTTAATTAGATAGGACACACGGCGATTAATATATAAGCCGACTTGTACGAAATATGTGACCAGTTGTACAGTGTTTAAGAGTTTCTGGTGAGCGTAGTTTGCGCTTCAAGCACATGCAAAGTGAGGAAGGTGAGAGAGTTAAAATTAAATTAATTAATTATTTGAAACAAATCTCAATTAGTTTTGGTGTTTTATTAGGTGATGAGTTGTGCTAATTCATATGGACCCTTTTTCTAGGGTTTCATAATGTCGCATTCTATATGAGACAAAGCCTAATAAAATTAGACGTGAAAGGTTAGGGCTTAGTGTTGTGTTGTTGTTTCCATGTTCATTGACAAGAACTCAACTTTTTTAGGTCCCTGATTATAAACTTTTGGGTATTAATTAGTTAATTTCATTAATTGGATTAGGAAGAATAAGAGCTAACCTACAAGAAATTAAAATTAGGAAAGCCAATAATTATGTTTAAGTACTATAAGCATGGAAGAAAAGTTGCACACGTTTTTCTTCTAAACTTAATTTGAAGCCCCGGATCAATTTTTCTTTCTTTCAGTATTTTCTTTTTTTAATCTTCTACGTGTCACTTTCTATAATTCCTAGCAAATCCAAATGACTTGTCAATTTTTCTGTTAAATTCTTTGTATCAAGCCACAACCACTATATAGCTACATAAATAGGGTAACAAATCATATCAATTCAAGAACTACTTTATTAATTAGCCTTTTACACTTATCCTTCTTATTTAAAGTTTTAACGTGACATTTATTCATTTGTTGGACAGAGAATTTAATTACAAACAGAGAGTTTATCCTTTGTTAGCTCGTAAACCTCTTATGAAAATAGCCTCAAGATTACTATACTTGATTAACAGATCATTGATGTCCATTGAAATTTAATTTAGCAAATTATCTGCATGTACCAAAATAATTCATAGGTTAATTACGCTATCAATATTTTACCGCTTGGGTAATTCAAGAGGTGTGCTAAAGTAGTGCCACGTGTATTTTGGGTGAAAGTGAAAGCACGATGTACACCAAAAAGGAGAAAAGAAAAAAGGAAAAAAAAAAAAAAAAAGTGATACTCGACACAGTTTGTTGATTACAACCCTCTTTTTGTCGTTTTTCATTCTGAAGTCTTGATGAAAATATTCAATTGAGAAATTCAACTATAAACGAGCTAGGAAATCAGGAAGAAAATGACCGTATTAAAGAGAAAGAAAAAAAAAATCCTGCGACCAAGTTGCATTCTACTAAAGACTTATATTGGTCATCCAATCTTATAAACTACAATTTTTGTGATACATTCAAAGGAATGCCAGTTGGGCATTAGACTTCCTCATTTGTTAAATAAATTCTTTCCTCATAACAAAAAATAAATAAATTCTTTATTATTAGTGGATCAAAGAATGGCAAGATGGTAATACCCGTTATGGAATAAACACTTAAAATGAATTCACATGAACAAAAAAATTAGAAAATAAGACATATTGTACTATGGTGTTAGCAAAATATTCCATGGAACAAGTACCAAAGAATTATGAAAGGGAAGAAACCCTAGAGAATGTCTTATTGAAATGGGGATAATTAGTACTTAGTTCTACTAAAGATGCACGTATTAGCTAAAATAATTGTCTGCCTGATTAATTAGGCTTAAATAAAATGGAAAAAAATTAAAAAAAAAAAAAAGAAAATGGTCTTGGGAAAAGGAGATATAGGTAGTAGTCTTCGTCGTAGATGATTACGGAGTGGCTGGTTGTGAAGTCACATGGATTCCTCTGAGCACATCCGACACTCCTGAACAAAGCCTGTGTTTTGCTTCTTTTTTTTTTTTTTTTTTTTTTTTTTTTTTTTTTTTTTTTTTTTTTTTGTTGATAATTTGTGTTTTACCGTTGTTTCTCTTTTCTCTTTCTCTGTTATAGATCTTCACCAGAATCTCTGGGTTACCGTCCAGCTTTTCGTCATCTTTCTCATTTCCATGTCCAAGTGTCCGACCACATTATTACCAAATGAACACATAGTCACATCTTCAATTAAAAACAATTTAAAAAATACTAAAAAAATTAAAATATTCCAAATAATTTCAAAGACCCTTTTGGCCTTTGATGGATTAATGTTCATAGATCACTGTTCATGACATGGGATATGCCCTAACGGGTCCCACCCTCCGATTAGATTTACATTTCTTTATTCCATATTGTGTGGACTGTACAGTAGTTATTCATTGGAAGGCGTTTTAGTGTTGAGTTTGTTCCTCTCGTTAGTTTTGAGGAAAATATCATTATAGTATTACTTGCTATATATCTCTATTATAGCTAAAGAGAATCTCTCTCTCTCTCTCTCTCTCTCCTCTTTCTCTTCTCTCTCTGTGTTGTCTACGATATGATGATCAGTTACTGGTCTACAATGAAATCTCACGTGCACCACGCTGTAGCTTTTTTTGGTTAAACGACGTCTTTAAAAGGCTCTGGGCTTTTCTCGTAGTCATATGGGAAGGGAGAGTATGATAAAAGGAACACTTTGTTTGGTCTTACGGATACGCTTTGTGCTTTGGGCTTTTTACGTCTCACAATAATAATAAGACTTTTCTCTCCTTTATTTTCTTTTTCTTTTTTCTTTTTTCTTTATCCTTTTCATCATTTCATTCATTGGGGTTTCTGTAGAGGAAACACAAAAAACACTTCTCAAATTTCGTCAGCTTCTAACACCAGCTTTTTCTTCTCATCCGAAGGCAAAAAAAAATTGAGAATTTTGGTCAGATAAAGATGGCACTAGAAACTGTGGTTTTCTCACAAGACCCATTTGGCTATGGCTTCAAGGATTTCTACTCCTTGTTAGGAGGACCCGGAGGAGCTAATTGGGGCTATGATTTGTGTCTCCAACAACAACAAGAAGATCAAGAATCGTTGGAAGAAGACAAATCCCTTATTGGGATTTTTGACAATCGCATATTGGACCAAACTGTGCATGCAAATTGGGACTACTCTTCCTCACCTCCTTCAGTCCCACACAACATTAATAATGAGTTAGGAATAATGTCGGATCCGTATTCTTCCCCCGAGGCCTGTACCGTCGACCAATCATATTCTCCTCCTGCGTCGGCCGATCCTGCAGTTGCGGAGCAGGCCCCGTCGACCGCCACCGTGGGACGGCGGAAACGACGCCGCACCAGGAGCAGCAAGAACAAGGAGGAGCTTGAGAACCAGAGGATGACCCACATTGCCGTCGAGCGCAACCGTCGCAAGCAAATGAACGAGTACCTTGCCGTTCTCCGATCCTTGATGCCACCCTCTTACGTCCAAAGGGTCAGTTTAAAAGATCTCTACTCTTCATTTCACTTTTTTTCTTAAAAAAAAAAAAAAGGACGAACTAAGAGAAAAATCAAAAAGCACTACTAGTACCATTCAAGAGCTAATATTGAAAAATGTAATCTACAGGGTGACCAAGCGTCAATAGTTGGGGGAGCAATTAATTTTGTTAAGGAGCTAGAGCAGTTCTTGCAATCAATGGAGAGCCAACACAAGAGAGCAAAGAAGCAAGACAAAGACGAAGATGGCTTTTCTTCACCAGTTTCATCGCCGTCGTCGTCGCCATTGGCCGAGTTCTTCACCTTCCCTCAGTACTCGACGCGTGCCACGGCTCAAAACGCTTCAACAGAAAACAGAGACTCCTCCGTTAACAACAACAACAACAACAACAACAACAATAACAGCAACCGGTGGGCGGCTGCCGACATAGAAGTGACGATGGTGGACAGCCACGCCAACCTGAAAATACTCTCAAAGAAACGCCCCAGACTTCTCTTGAAAATGGTTGCTTCTTTGCAGGCTCTTCACTTCAGTATTCTTCACCTTAATGTCACCACTGTGGACCAAATGGTCCTTTACTCTGTTAGCGTCAAGGTATTTAGATTGATTTTTTCTTTTTATTAGTTGATTTAATTTGTGTCACTAAATAATATTGTGACATATAATTGATTTGTTAAATATTTATATATATGTATGTATATATATGTGTGTAATAATTAATTGTGAAAATGGGACAGATTGAGGAAGGATGCCAACTGAACACTGTGGATGAGATTGCAGCGGCTGTTAATCAAATGCTGGGCAGAATTCAAGAAGAGCCTTCTTTCACCTGAATCTTGAAAACTTTTCATTTTTTTTTTTCTTTTTCTTTGGACCTTTACGTTCTATGTGCATCTCACTTTCTCTTTGTAATTTGGGGATTTCTGCCTTTCGAGAACGAGTTTCTCTTTGTTATTATTATTATTCTTCTTTTTCTGTTTATTTGAGGAAGAATATTGTTTAGAGTTTCAAGAGTAATCGAGTCGGGTACTGTATTTATGTGTTTGTCTTGCCTATTCGGAAAAGGACTAATCCAACTCTAAAGGCTTTCATCTTTATACAAGGACTAAAACTCCATGGTTGCAGTCATATTTGGATTCAAATCACCCGCTCAATTCCTCTAATCAATTAGATTGTACTACATCATTTAAAAAATTAAAATATCACTTTAATTAACTTTTCTTTGTTTTGATAGTTAGATTTATTAAATGACGCGTCTCATTGTGATTGATTAGACACTAATTGATAATTAAAAATTAAAAAGCAGATTTGAGTCTGTCATATTTAGCCATAAATTCATACCTAGCTCCAAGTATCATGATGTTTAGAGATCAAATTCCCCGCCTAAGTTCACAAAGTTTCACAGCTTCTTATTTTTTATTCTAAATAATTATGACCTACCAAATATGTTTATACTTAATCTTTTTTGGTTAATTAAAAGAGTTGCTTATTTTGTATAGGTGCTAGATCATGTAATCAACCATAGAATATCTACTAAGACACAAATGAAATTGAGTATTATAAGTTCCCACATCATAAATTAAGCCAACTGTAAAATGGTGATGCAGTGTGAGGGTGACTTTTACGTCCGAGAGTATATAAAGTTTCGTCAAGGAGCGCGCGCGCATATATATATATATATATATATTATTTTTTTCTTATGAAGAATATGGGCATAAAGAGTGAGTCTAAGACATTGTGTATATGAATTATTATGAATCGTGAAGTTTACTAAAACCATAAACTTGGAGACTGTGGTCATGATCTAGTAGGAAGTCTCGTTAAAATTTAAGACTACATGATATAATTAAATTGGATAACCTATCAACTATGAGCTAATTAATTTATTATATGTTCATTATCGAGTCCCAAACCTTGTTAATAGGAAGCCTATGGAATACTCTTTAAAAAAAAAAAAAAAAAAAAAAAAAAAAAAAAAAAAAAGGGGGAAAAGTTAGCACAAGAAACACTCCTTTAAATCGGAAGCCATGCATTAGTCAAAGTCATTGGTTCTAAAGACCAGGGCAATAGAAGGTTTATTCTATCACAAGAAAAGATTAGTGTTCTAATTTATAAGGAACCCTTGAGTGAAGACAAGATATTGATCGGATCCAATTGACAAATACTCTAAGCAGCATATGGGGTGATTAATAATACTCATTAGAAATTGTTCTTGACAACTCTGCCTAACCTCAATATATATGTTAAAGACATGGTAGGGAGGAAAAAATGGAGACAAAGTGGGACATGCATGTTTCCCTTAAAAAAGGGCAGAAAATGGTAATTACTATTGTTGGTAGACCTGGCACAATATAAATACATTTTGCTGGCTTAGTTAGATGTGTGTGTATATATATATTATATATTTATATGGACGTAAATATGGAAATTTGATGATGTGATATAATAAAAATATAATTTTTAATTGTCATAATTATTTTTAGTCAATTATCTAATTTATTACAACCATTAAATTAATATATTATGATAAAAACAATAATATCTATTGATAGATAAATATTAAAGTAACTATTAAGGTTGAAATACATTAACAGACTATTTTATCAAATTTTGGCTTGTCATTTTTATGTATATATCTAACTAATATCATCACGCCACATTATCTATTTTTTCTCCATATATTGGGTTATATAATGAGAATAAGAATAACAATTAATCTTTGATTTGTAATCATACGGTATATATAATAATAAGAATAATCATTATCATCATGAGAAACAGAAAAAGGAATCCCTTAAAAAAAAGGACTTAAAATCATCATGATTATCAATTTATGTCTCTTTACGGGATTATTTTTGTTTTTTGCTTGGTTTTTCAAATGAAATCATGCACGAAACAAACACACGCACACATTTATGGATATATAAACGTGTAGTTTTAATAGTTACTCTAATAATTTAATGTACGACTTATACGTAGTGAACTTGACATTAATTGCCTAATTGCTAGCTTATAAATGTGAGCAGTTCAGCGCAAACTCAACTTATGTATTGATCAAACAAATAAAATTAATGAGTAGAAGTCTATTATTCATGATAAACATGCAATTTGTTACATCATATGATCTTACATAGCAAAACACAGGCCCCATCTGATTCTGACAAAAACTATATATATAATAAAATATTGATGAAAAACCAATAGGGCCTAATTTATAAGATTACTATCATAGAGTATCGTCTTGAATAATGGTATAGATTACCCCATGACTATCAGTCTATCAGTGAAATTCAGTGTACTAAATAATAATGGGCCAACTCAACTGGATTTAATCTTTAACTTGAGTTCACCATTAATATTTCTCGGGTATTTGACGCCTTTGCCCCTCGGATATTTTATGAATGAATTAGCAAGTGACTCACTTTAATTTTTATAAAATACTCTATAAATTTAATAAGGTACTATTGCTTGGAAGTCCTGTTGCTTCTTAATAAATTTTAAAATAACCTCACTGGATTTACTTATTTATTTTCAAAACACTGGATTTGAAATCTATGGTTACACGTTCTCATCGTTATACTAAGATCCCACTAAACAATAGCAAAAATGTTACATATATATTATATATATATATATTTAAAAAAAAAAACGTTTAATTGAAAAAGCTGATTTCCAGATACTTCCTGGAAGATGCAAAATATTCCCTTTCCAAAATGGTGCTCTTTCCTTTGAAGAAGTTTGTTGCGGCCAAAGTCCTATATAGTTTCCACTTTTTTTTTTTTTTTTTTTTTTTTTTTTTTTTTTTTTTTTTGCGTTTAGGAGCATTATTAATTTTGCAAATGTACACACGTCTTTGTCAACCAAGTGAATTATCATTGGTGGTGGCCACACAGCTAGCTTATCATAAATAGTGATCAGCAATGTATATATCGAATTTGATGGCTTTTTTTTTTCTTCTTCTTTAGCTAATAATATTCCTTTCTTGTAGTGTGCTTTTGTCGCCCCTGAATCAGCTGAGAATCTGATGATTATCCCCCACATCATTTTCGCTTTGATTTCTGGGGTTATTCATGTTTCTCTTCTTTGTCCTTTATTGTACTAACACATTATGGGATTAAATGATTCTTTGGGTAGGCAATGTACAAGAAATTTGAAAGAAAGGCGATGAGTGATGAGCCTGTCCCTTTGAATTGTACTAAATATGCTCTTTCTCTTGACTAGCTACCCTACAATATTAATGTCATTTTTCTTTTGGGCTCAAATTTTATATATAAGCTTGTGTACATCGAATAAAGGAATTGCTATTCAACGGCCGTGATCATTGGCAGCATTTGACATATATATAGCTAAAGTAATCTGCTTTCTTTGAGTCAATATATTAATCAAACATCAAAAAAACGAGTACAATGGTTTCTAATTAAAAAAAAAAAAAAGGATCAACTACAGTATTAGACCTTGTTTTTTGTGCTATATATATATATATATCCTAAATATTTCAGCATCCAGATTGAACCGATCTAGACCATTAAAAATTTTACATCTTAGTTCTCGTCAAGGTATGTATTTTGCTTGTTTTTTGTGCTGTATGTATCTAAATTCAGCATCCAGAAACAAGTTAAACCGATCCAAGTCTGTTAAAAAATTTTACAACATACTTTTTGTCAGGTAATAGAGAATTTGAACTCTACATCTTAAAATAAAGTCAGTGTGTAATTTTGGATAGACTAATAATGACAATTTTATAATAGTTTTTTAATGCTTATAATTATGTTCGATATGGTGCTCCCGTGGTTCATAAACATGTGAGAATCCACATATATTACCTTTACTTTTAAGAATAACACGTGATATAAAAACGTGGTAAAAGCATTTTACAATACAGTAAACTATATCTTACTTGCACGAAAGACACAAAATTAAACAATATTTATTACCACTCTCATATGCCTCCCTATATATGCAGCTAAAACTAATAGTCCATTACTACACATCTTCTCACTTGCTTAGCTTATCTATAACTTTTACAACTTAACTTATTAGAGTACTAGTTAGTTCTTGAAGTGTCTATGACTTAACTTGATTTGGCGAAGCAAATTTGAAGTATTCAATTGAAGCAATGATATATATGAACAGTATTTATAAATTAAAAGATTAGAATATGTATATAGTACATAACTATATGCTAGTTTTACACATCATGTACTGATCCGTTCAGAACTTTTTTTTTTCCCCATATAGCGCTCTCTCTCTCTCCTTAATTTTCTGCATATTGTAGTGTGAGGAATGATGAACTTCATGACCATTAAAAAAGATTTGCATAAACATTATCGACGCCCACATCTTTGATTTTGGACCAATGGAGCAAAAATTCACATCCAAAACTTTTTGGTTTATTATATTATTGTTCTCACTTTAAGGAAAAAGTTGAAAGTTACAAAAGCAAGCTAAGCTAGAGAGGAGGAGGACAAATTAAGCCTACGTTGTCCCCTCCCACTCACATCTAATAATTAATAAGGCTTCACAAATTTGGGGGAGAAAATATACAAACACAGCTTTAATCATTTAGTTAAGTAACCAATAATAACATTCTTGTGGGTCCCGCATATTTTTTAGCTTTAATATGATACTGATGGAGAGTTCAGGGTGTTCACGAAGCACGAAATTTGAAATTACCAATAAATTATAAATAAAGTAAGATTCTGCAATATACATATTGATTTTTTTAAGCAAGATCCAAGAAGTTTCCTGAATGAAATAAAAACCATCGTTTTGCATGTGAACTGCAAAATACTACTATCATGCTGAAAACAAACAATATAGTACATCAATATGTATGTATTGTTTATATATATATATATATGTATATATACA